ACCGCAAGAGGTTAAGAGCATGTCAGAGAAGGCTCTTAAGGAGGGTGGAGGGGTTTCCCCTCCACCTCCTAATAACCCAAACCTCAATTTTTTGGATGCTAAGTTTTTTTTGGAACTTAAGAGGGATTAATGATCCAGATAAGCAGCAAAGTTTTAGGAGATGGTGGCTTAAGTATAAGCCTACTTTTGGGTGTCTAGGGGAGACACATGTTTTGGAGCCTAATGCTAGAAGGATTATAGCTTCTATTCTGCGAGGTTGGAGAATGGAGCCAAATTATGAGTATTCTCATATTGGAAAGCTTTGGGTGGTTTGGGACCCGGCGATTTCGCTGATTGTTTATAACAAGTCCCTACAACAAATCACTTGTGGAGTGGAAATCCCTGGGATTAGCACGAGTTTTACAACCACTTTTACCTATGCTTCGAACATAAAAGCAGAGAGAAGAGACCTCTGGAAGGAGCTGCAAGTTATTGCTACAAACAGATACCTAGTGGGGTCTCCATGGTTGGTCACAGGTGACTTTAACCAAACCCTTACGGCTTCTGATCACTCACTCAGAGAAGAATTTGATGGTCTTTCCGCAGGAAGCAGAGAGTTCCAGCACTGCTTGAATGTTACTGGCCTCTTTGACCTACCATACACTGGCCCGGTTTTTACTTGGTGGAACCACAGGAGAGCTACCCCTATAGCAGAAAAGCTTGACAGAATTCTAGGTAACGATCAATGGCTTCTATCATTCCCTGAGGCTCATGCCAGCTTTGAAGCGCCTCTGTTTTCTGATCATGCAGCCTGCTGTATTAGAATTCCGGATTCTGCTACTACTCCAAAGAGACCTTTCAAGTTTAACCTCCATCTGCTACAACATCCGGATTTCCTCTCAATTGTGGAAGAAGCTTGGAGAGGTTTTGAGGTGGAAGGTTCCCCAATGAAGCAAGTTAGTAGAAAGCTCAAGCTCCTAAAACGAATTTTGAAGGAGCTTGACCATTCTGCCTACTCAAACATTCAGAAGAGAACAGCGGAAACCCTAGCACAGCTTCAACAATCTCAGAATGCTATGCTTTCGGATCCTTCTAGAGGAGGCAGAGAGAGTTCTTTTGGCCCTTAACAAATGGAGAGCCTTGGCTAAGGCTGAGGAAACTTTCCTGAGGCAG